TTCTGCACAATGTTACACAATACAGTCAATAATTTTGGCCTTTTTACCTAGTTTTTAAATATGTGTTGGATTTTATGCGCAATATTAAAAAGATGAAAAACGAAAATCAATACAAGAATTTTATGTGGTTCGGCGATGTGCCTACGTCCACGAGAGCGAAGCGGAGATTTCTTTATTCAGTTGTGAAAAATAGGGTTACAACATATTATTTATACTAACCCTAGCCTGGGCCCATATAAAACTTTAAGGTCCGTACAGAAAATACCCCTGTACCGTACCGCGGGGACGTTGCCCCCGCACCCCCAACTCATTCAGCGTCCCTAACAACCAAACAGTGAATTAAACCCACGCCAACATCGGCCCATTTGATCCAGGGTCTGTGTTCTATTCTATATAAGCCACATGCACAACAATATGGCAGCTTCACTGTCTAATGCTATCAAGGGAAACTGAAGTCAAATAAGAAAAATGGATTCCTCCCAAATTTGTTTGTAATAACTGGGCTGAGATAGATGCATGTTATTCTCATGTTTTTGCCATTTGTAGTCACTAACGAAACCAATAATTCAACTCAATTCGTCCTTCAGAAAATATTTGGTTTATTATGAATACACTGAATAGCATATCTAGTAACTTGAAATTGTTTTTCTGTTTCTTGTTCAACCTAGACTAGATTCTGTAAACAACAATTTATATAAGGTCATTTTTGCTTTGGTCGCTGGAAAATGGCAGTAACATTTTACTGGTTTCATTTAAGAAAATGCATTCTCTTGACTGCCTGATTTGGCATTGCCCTTCGACTTTACTTCCTTGAAGTACACTCATTTATTTTGGTCATTTGCATGTATCTCCATTCTGACTTGTATGCTTGCTGAAGTTTCTGGAAATACTAGGAAACCAGGTAATCAACACGGTTTAACTTTTGTTCCTATCTGCTGCAGCGTTGATGATGCGTTTCCCCCTGTCACTTTTCATTTTGAAAATTCGCTTCATCTGAAGGTTTATCCTAGCGAATATTTGTTCCCTTTTGTAAGTACATTCTGTTATTTAGCATGGTTTTTTTTTGCATTATCCGTTATTGCTCTAATCACGTTTTGTCTTGAAACTTTTTTTATTTTACGTGTGGTTAAAATGTTGGGTCACGATATGAGAAAGCTATTATGAGCTGGTAAAGTATGGATTTTTTTATTTATTTATTTTTTCTTTTGCAGCTTCCACCTCATGTCATGCATAATCACTTTGTTGAATAAATGAGCTCCATAATTTCTGAAATTACTTCTGTTTCCTCTCTAGGTCTTTCTAGCATCAGTATTGGTCCTCAATTCATAGGGCTTAGGATGTAAACTTGTGATGATACTACAAGTCAGGGATGCTTGCTTCGATTAATTATTTGTGCAGCAATAATTAAATGAAGTGAGAAGCTTCTTTACAATGAAATACCATGATAATACAAGCTTATAGAAATTTCCTGTTCATCAATGCTGTTACATGTTATAAGAAGCCTGCACCGTCACATATAATTTGAGATATTAGGTTTAATTTAGAAGCCTTCACTGGCTCTCATGAATATTTAGTCATTGATTAAAAACTGCCTCGTTCTCATTTAATAGAAGTTTGTAGAAATTTAGCAGAAGAACATTGTTTTTTGCATTACTTACTAATTGTTGAAAGTGGTATTTAGAGATAAACTTGGCTTTCAGAAAACATTTCTGTTTTCGTTAATCAATTGTTGCTACCCTTTTCATTTATCAGTATTGGCTGGTGAAGAGTAGTCAATTTTGGAAGTAGCCTATGTATTATCAAATATTGTTATACTGTGTTCTCATGTTAGCACTTGGTGATCTATTTATATGAACAGAAATAAAAGTTAGAATTGAGTTCCTCTAAACTCCAATGAATAACTTCTAAGGCACTTCTTGTGCATCACGCCCCCTACTCTAGGGGAAGTATAATTCAATATATTTATTGTCTATTGGTTCATGAAAGCAGAGCAACACTAGAAAATTGCCTCGGTCACTGTGCAATGTCTCTTGGTTCTTTGGATAAGTAGTCTTCAAGCCCATCCTTGTTAGGAAGCAGTGGTGTGTCAGTTGACTATTTTAGTTTTCTTTGGCTTTTGTGAAAGGGACAGTTCAGTATATTTGTGATTATGGAGAAATATTGGGGTGGCATCTAATTGTTGCCTACTTTCTGTATGTTTGGCATATTTAATGGTTTTGATAGGTCCAAATGTAGTGTCAACTTGTAAGAAAAATCTCTGACCCTTGAATCCCCAGTTTACTTGGGCTCGGAAAAGAAGGGTTATTTAAGTTTCTCCTATGATCTTAGACACTATTTTCTGATGGATAGAAAATATTTTCAGATAGCTTGTTGAGAATTTGGGATCATCTAATCTGATGCATCTTCTATCCCAAGTCCTGGTATTCTTAATTATTCTGCTATAATCATCCTCTGGAAAATCCTCAAATTCGGTCTCTCATCCTTTCTCTCTCAGGGCTCTCCCTAAACATATTTTTTTCACCTCTACTTGATTCTATACAACCAGCTCTTTAACATCCCTTCTTTACAGATTGTAACAGCAAATGAATCGGTAATATAAAGAAGAATCTGATACCTGCTTTTGCCGTTACCAAGTTATAACTTCCTAGAAAACTGATAGCATTTTCATCATATTCATAATTCCATCAAAAGGTTTAGGTACCATTTCTCTCTGATATTATATATGAGTATATTGAGTTACGCTGACACTGACACTATCATCATCACACAACTACTTACGAGAAAATTCAAGAAACCTATAACTGCAGAGATCAATTTAGTTAATTGTATGTACACTTTATGGTCTTGCATTTTGTTCATGCTCATTCTCAAAACCTGAGCCATATTGAACTGGTTATTGCAAATCGTGATGCATTGGCCTGTGAGTATTGGTGAATAACATTCTGGATACTTCTCACTTGTGGAAAATCTCGGGGATTACCTGCAGCTGTTTGGTGTCAGTTATACGTTTAGTTAAACTTGATTAATAAAGCAAGACACTTGTGTGGAATATATTAATTCAATTCTTATTTCAGTTTGACGTGAACTTCAAAACTGAACCAGAAAATGACTGCTTTAACTGTTATGGGATGGTTAAAAACAATGATGCATGGACATTCCTACGATGCAGCATGTGCATGTCCAATACGTATTAGGACACTCCATGGCATGGGTCCCACACACCACATCCCTGTCCTATTTATTATATGTTTTTAATTTCTAACGATACTTTAGGGACATTCTTCGGGCAAATGTTCAACATGGCATGTTCCGTATCCAATATATTTAAGATTTTAAAGAAATTAGATTGACGTTTCCCTGGCATGCCTATTCCCTACTTTCTAGAAAAATCATATGTCGCTCTATGTTGTGTGGTCTATGTGTCGTGTTTCTATGCAACTTATATTAAAAATATGCTAGAGGGTTTTCAACATAATACCGCGGAAAATTGTGCAAATGGTAATTCACAGATTATTTTTAACTTTGTGTGAAAACTACATGGTTGAAATCTCTCGCTACCACCAACATGAGAGAGTTCCAAGACAAAATTCAGTTTAGCTTACATTACAAGCTTCTCTATTTTCTTTTCTTTTCTTTTTTTTTTTTTTGGAGAGTTCTATTTATTTGGTCGTTTCCTCTGCACCATAGCCCAAGTGCAGTGGAATTCTGTATTATTTCTTCCTTTTGACAGAAGGGAAAGGCTATTTGAGAGAGAAAATAAGTTCAGGTTATGTTGGAAATTACATCACCAATGTTTTTCTAGTATTTCTTGTCTTGCAAAATATCTGTGCTCTCTCTCTTTCTCTCTCTCTTCCCACATCATCAAAGCTTATGCCTCAAATCTGTACAATTTTAATTTTTGACAGGAAGACTTGATGTGTCTTGGTTTTCAAAATAGTGGACTGCAATCCCAAGATAAACAGAACATTACTCTTTTAGGAGGTATGCATGTGATTTTTCCGGCTACTACTTTTAATTCTGATTAATTATCAAATTGTTGAAGTACTTGATTAGATTGCTGCTTCTCTTCCTTTCCCTTTTCTAGCCCCTGCTCTCTTAATTCAGATGGCATTTTGACATTAAAACTTGTGTTGGGCTATTACTTTTCAATTTCTTTAGCAACTAATAATTGGTACCTAGAGCCAACATTGATGATACTTTATTATTTAACCAAACTGTTCAATATCTCCCAGGTTTTCTGAATCGCACTCATTTATTTCTGGATCACTTTTAACTGATATCTGATTGGATTTAGGAGAGCATCCATTTTGTCAATTAGGGGTCATGGCGTTGCTCATGAGGCTATAGCAAAATGAGCAGAAATGTAAAAAATTTGACCCTGAAAAGAACAGAAGCAACATTATAGTTAATCAATTTTAAGTGCCATACCTTGTTAATATGAGATTATGTACCTTTTGAAGGAAGCCTATACGATATTTTTCTGTCATCATCTAATTTTGGATTTGTTTGGTCTGATGAACATATCATTTGATAGCCTTATGCTTCTTTAGTCTAATTTCAGTTCAATGTATGTTTACAGATTTGGTTCTTTCAAATAAGCTGGTGCTTTATGATCTTGAAAACCAAACAATTGGATGGACTGAATATAACTGTAAGTATACAAGCATGTGCATACATTTGATGGGATTGTGCATCTACATTCTGATGCAAATGCAACAATAATAGTCAATGTCCTTGTCTTCACTTTCCTGCTAGATTCCAAACTGGCGGGTTGATTTGAAGTTGTTCTACTTGTCAATATATTTATCTGTTTTTAAATTTGCATCAACATGCTTGGCTGATCCAAGATGGAATGTAACATGGAAAATGTTGACCACGGATTGCTTATAGAAATCCCTAAATTTCCAGAAACTTGTTACTAAAGCCTTTTCCATTAAACTAAAACCAAACCAACTAAAAATCCCATCCTAGAGACTAATTCCTAGGTTCCATTTGGTCACTGCCACTGTCACTGTCACTGTCACACTCGTATACTACTTTTCCCATTCTCCAAAATCAAAAAATTAAGTAACTTAAATTATATATGTCTGACTGCCAGAGGTCTATTATGGATCCTTGTAAAACTCTTACCTTGGAGGACCTTCTTACATTGCAACTAATAACAGCTTCCTATAGCCAACTTAATAGCCCTGGAAAATAGTATCAGTTAATTGATAGTTTCGGACTATATGTGGTGGAGAATGAGAAAGCATGAAATCTCTTCTGCTAAATTGTTTTGCTTTCTTCTGTTAACATTGCTGGTGTGGTTTGTGGGTTGTTATTTGCAATTGGGTGATGATGAGCATATTGGATCTGGAAATTTGAATTGAGTAGTTTGGATCTTTCTGAGGATTATGTTGAAACTCAAGCTACATTTGTAAAATTCCAATTACGGTATCTGGTGTAATATTCTTTCTTTTCTTTTCTGTTTTGGTTCGTTTCTTCAATTTGGAGAATGTCTACTTTGCCGCGGCACTCGTATATTATGTTGTAACATAGTTCCCTTGACCAATGTGCTATGCCTGTTAACTACATTTTTAAAATGAGGATACAGTGTATGAAAAATAATAAGAAAGAGATTTACTAAGTTAAGGAATCGTTGATTAGTAATGCCCTTTCAAGAATTTCTTCGAAGTGGCTCTTGTGTTCTTGTGCTTTTTCTCAAGCAGCATTTCTCAAAGGGGCACTTCTGAATATCTAAATTGTGATATCAAGTTGGGCATTAAAGCTATAATTGTACTATAACTCGAAAATCTTGCATATCTAGGGTAATTGGAGTAGACTATCTGTTTTCATCATTAGATTCAAATAGAAATGCTTGACATCGTGTCAATATTCTCAATGCTTCCCACGTCAAGTTAGACAACTTTGGCGGTTCCTAGTGGATGAATATTGCGATAAATCTTGACATTTTACTTACTGTGTCTAATTTCTTGTTGATTCCAGGCTCATCAAGCATTAAATTGAAGGATGAACTTACTGGGTCAGTACATCTAGTCGGTGCTCACTCTCTATCCCGAGGTTGCAGTCTCCATGCCCCAATGGTTCTGTTCTCTCTGCTGCTAATGGCTTTACTGCACGGTTTTTCAACCGAACTGCTATAGCTACTGTGAATATCATCAAACAGAATAGTCGAAAATAAATAGAAAATGTTGGAGTTGAAGAAAACTCATAATTGAAGTAAATGGCTGGATCGTAAATGTGTGCATCATTTAACAAAAGGAAGACAAAAATAGGATAAGTTGATAGCATAAAAAACTCATTCAGCTGTGCAATCTTCCATTTTTGTAACCATAGGAGTGTATGATGTAAATAGTCCCGTATATATACATATTTGGTACGTAATATTTGACTATGCTGAATGGATAATCAAAGTTTAGTTTTTTTCTCTTTGTATCGAGGGCTACTATTGATTTTGCCAATACAGATTTTATTTTGGTATTTTATTCAATTTCTTATTTTAATCGAACAAATGTTATTATATTATTTATTTAGTTAAGAAATTAATTAGTTTGACTCACCAAGAATGTTGTATTATAAATCAACCGAGCCCATTTTAAATCTCCACGTAAGTGAATATTTATTCATACACAAACCAAGTTGAAGGTAATTAAGTCTTAGGATTAAAATCTATATTTTAATTTATGTCAAAGTCCATAATTATTTTTAATCGTATATTTTATAGTATCCGTAATTTTTCAACCACATATTTTATTAACTTTTCATTAAAATCTGCAAATATATTTTAATTCCACTAAACAAGAGCTAAATATATTAAATAAAACATTGGGGGTTAAGGAATAAATATTTTGACTAAATCGGCGGTGCCTCTGATAAAGTTTTTGTAACCCATTTATTAATTAAATATGTTAAGGTCACAATAACATACAACTTAAATTGAATCTTCCTGTTTCATTGCGATTATTACTTGTTGTGTAAGATTTTATTTTATACCGTCTTGTATCAAAGTATGCTATGTATTGCTTATATTCTCATTGCTGAAACAAACTTCATGCTACGCATTTTCTAATCCTATCACTGATGCAAAATGTTGATAGTCCATTTCTCATCAGACGGGCAGTTTCTGGTGATGGCCGAACCTGAAGATTTCAAAACAAGGCAATAGATCGATTTCTTTCGTGTAGCTTTGAGTCTCTCTGGACATATGCAAGCTTGCCACAATTTAATCCAAAGCATATCTTGATTGCTTAATGTAATTGTCTGAGGTTCTTGGATATTGTTCTCTTTTGGTTTAAGTTAAATTTGTGTAGGTAGCTTGTTCGACTTAACGAAAATTATGCTAAGAACAAGAATCACAAAATAATAAATTGATTAATTGAATTCATAGCAGCTAGATGTGTCTTTCCTTACTCTTCACAAAGTGTTAGTCGTCAATGAGTCAAGCTAATAAAACAATATAGAGAGGAGGGGGCAGCCTTTATAGGACATTATCAAGTCGTCCCATTACGACTTAAACTCTAATTAGAGTTTACATATATTTCTTGATCACTTAATAAATTTGGCACAATCACAATATCATTATGAGTCATACATCAAATCCGTAAAATAAACAATCAAATGAGAAGTCCATATTAGAATTATTCCAACATAGCTTACTCATGTTTAGTTCGATTTCACTATTAAATTAGTTACCACCATGGCTTGAACATGCCAACTTAATAGAATACGTGTTACTTATTAAAATATAAGTAAATAATTAACTAGTCAGAAAATGAAGATATTTTATACTCTTGTTTCGCGTCCCACCTCTTGAGAATTTGAGGGTGGGAACGGGAATGATTGCCCAAGCTTC